ATTAAAACACATAAAGCCAGAGACATGCTAACAATGTGCGTTTTGATGTTCAGAGACAATAACCCAAGCTTGAAACGACAGTGGTAACCACCACGCCACCGTGCCGCCAAAGACAAGGTGGAATCTTGTCTTCCAGCTCAGGAAGAAGCCTGAAAGTGGACCTCGAGTTGAAGTCATTTGCTTTCGTCAAGTTGACATGAACCTTCAACCAAGCTGCGACTGTACCGACCGCACGGTGACCAAAGGACACCGGCCCACCTGAGCGTTGCATTTCTGTGCTCAACATGAACCTCAACCTCAGAATGAATCAGTGGTTTTCTTCCACCTTGGTGAAATGAAGCATCAACCTTTAGTAACACTGCGCTATCATTAGTGAACAATACAGCACCCGCTGCTCTTCTCCATTCCACACCAAGCAAGACAGGAAACCAGTCAGCACGTGCGTCCCAACAGTGTAATTCTTAGGAAATCACATTATATTTGATAAGATTTGTCTCACTCTGGCTTGACTCGGGCTTAAGATGTGCTAACGTTACCGCGGAGACCACGCGTCCGTGACTTAAACATTAATACAGAGGTCTCCAAAGAACATCACAGAGGGCTTCAACGTTCACTCCTTTACATTGAGTTATAGACGGTGTCACTCCATCGGGTGTGTGAGCGCGGCGTGGCGAGATCAGGCAGATGAGGTGCATGTGCCGCCACAAACCGGGCCTTGGGATTGGTCGGATCCGTTTGTCCACGCAGGCCCTCTGTTGACATCTGTTATCTGTCAATCCCACGCTCGACTCCACAGAGCGATCCGTCAATCATCCAGAGCCGAGAGGGGCAGCGTGTGCGTCCGTGTGTGTGTCTGTGTGTGTGTGTGTGTGTCTGCGTGGGTGAAGAAAGGATGAGAGAGAAGGAGATGTGGTTAAGGGAGAAGGAAAGAGACGAATGGCAGAAGAATCAAAAAAAAAAGGAAGAGAACAATGAGAAACAGAATAGGAGAAAGAAGAGAAAAAGGAGGAGTAAAGGTGGAGAAGAAGGATGCTGAATAAAAAAGGGGGAGTGGAAGCTGAACGCTGCATAGAGGAAGGATGACTAGTGAAAACAGCAGATGCTAAAGGTCAGCAACATGTTTGTTGGCTGATTTTGACACGTTGGAGCAACGAGACGCTTTTTCATCCTGAATCCGGGCGTAGCAGCTAGTTGGTGCATTGCGTTGTATGTATGGAGTACAGCAACGGTAAAGACCTGCATGGTTCATGCATCAAAAATGCTCTCAATTGAAACGGGTATAAGCATTACTGCGCATTCTTTTCAGGACCAGCCTGGTTTCCGCTGTTCTACAAGATTGATGAAATGTGATCCTTAAACGGTTGAAGAAACGAATGAATGAATATAGCGTGAAAACAAAGCGCTCGTCTCCGTCGTGTCCCTCAGGTCCATGACCGACGTACAAACACGCGGCAGAGAGCTCCCTGCTCCACCAGCGCGGGCCGCCCCAAAAGCAGTTAACGGGATCACGATCCCACCTTCACTCCTCGGCAGCTCCTCTTAACGCGACTCACTGGTTTAAACCCCCCTCCCCCCCCTTCCTCCCCAACATAAATCTCGCCGCGAGCACAAGATTAAATGTCCTTTTTTTTGTTATGTCAGGCCCTGCTTAGCGCTCACCTTGTCGTGCACTTTGACCCCGGGCAATTCCCAGGACAATGCGACGGTTGTTGGCGGCGCGTTGCACGGGGGAGAGAGTTTCAAAGCATTCCGGGTGGATTTCAGACCACTTTCCTGCCTTCCGATCCGCCAGTGGTGACGGGAAGCTGCCAAAGTCATCACACAAAGACCTGAAACTCACTTGAGAGGAACAACCTTGTGTTTTCTTCATCCCACTCGGGCAGGATTAATACTCAGGATTAATACCTACTTTTAATGTCTTAAAAACAACACATTACTGTTGTAACCTTGTTGTTGATCAGAGGAAGCTTATTCTACAGCTTTCAGGCTTTTTAGCCATGTTTTACTCAAACACACACACACACACACATAATCAAACTGTAGAAGTGAAGAAAGCAAGCGAGACGTTGTCGATATTTTACCTGCGAGCTGTTCACGCTGCTTTGAGGACGCGAAGGTTCACACCTCAGTCTCACCGTGGGACTTTAAAGTGAACACTGAGAGACATTTAAGTCCCAGCATGAAGGAGCAGAGGAAGCAAAGTAGAAAAGGGCCTTTGGATGGACTAATGGAGGTCAACGTGGGGTCAACTAGGGAAAGGAAAAGGACGAGGACTCAACCAAGAATCCGTCCTACAAGTTCTACTCAATGAATGGATTTTATTAACCAGGCTGGTACTTAAACATGTTTTGTCCTCGTATCCAGAAGTCTGCACCTTTTTTACGAGACAATAAGCACCTCGTGCCGCTGTCTCTGTAGTTTTGTGTCAAAATATATTATGATGCCAAAATAAACTGCAGAGGAGAATGAAGCTCCGTCACTTTGGGAGGGAGGGACGACATCCTCAAACCCTGCAACCTTTTTTTATTAGAATTACATGAATCCAAAGAACTTAACTGCAACGGTTTATTGACTAGAAGAATATGTAGTGAAAATGCTTTTAACGGCCACAAATAACATTTTTTAAGTTACTTTCTTTTTGTAGAAGAAGTGGTTGTTAACTCAAAGGCCCTGCAGGGGGAGATGTGACGTGTGACTCGTCTCACGGACTCAGACGGCACATGAAACAAACCCGCAGGCAGCCCGAGGAGAAACTAACCGGCAACTTCATGAGCGCGACGTTAAGACACACAAACAAGGTGCAACAAGTCAGTGCGAGTACAGAGAGTCCCGATGATGTGCCGCACAAGTATGGAGAGGCAACCCACATGAGCGCGTTGTGTTTAAGTGTTTGCTCATTTCCCACGTGACTAAAACAACGTGTAGAAGGAGGAAGTCACAGTGAGAGACTATTTTTATTTCTACCTGAAGTGAAATCCTGAAAGTGAATTATTATTGGAACGTCTACAAAGTGGAGCTACAGCTCCCGAGTTGGCAGGACAAAAATATGTGTAGAAAGATATTTTTTAGTGATCACTTTTTAAGGACTCATTCAGTCATGCATTCAGCTACAAAACACGACTTTTCATCGTTCTTCTTTTGCTAATTCGAACAACTGTCTGCGGGAGAGCTACGTGTTAGCGTAGCAAAGCGCCAGCGACGGCGGCTTCTCTCGGGCCTCCACGCCCCCCCCCCCTGAAGTCACGCTCCTCTGGGTTCACCCCCCCAACGAGCGCCCCGGCTGAACCCAACAGGCCACGGTCGGAGAGAATATGAACCATCCGTGGCATCGACGAAAACTGCGACGAAACTGCGGCCGGCGTGATGGACAGCGCGTGATGGACCAGCCCCCCGGCGACATCCGGCCCTCCGCTGCGTTTTCTCTCTCTGCTGCCCCTCCGATGGACGTCACCCTGACTGACAGCCGCCTGGAGGCCCGCGCCCGACACAAATACCACGAGATAATTACTGACTTCAAGGCCCTTTCGGGCCGTCCTCGCTAAGTCGTGAACTTGACATTTGAGGGAGGGGCGGGGCTTGTTGTTTGACGTATACTCACTTAGATAAAGAGCAGAGTTTGAAAGGAAGATGTTTAAATGAGTTGGAGTGACCTTCGACCTTCCGAGTTCTGAAAAAGAGACGGAAGAAACATGAGATCCGTCAACTTCTGCCCCGAAACGTGTTGTTGTCAAATTGTGTTGCGCTGAAGGAAAGCAGCACGGAGACTCGCGCTGCATGTTGACGTCGCAGTAAAGCATTTACTAACAAAGCAGTGATGCTGAGAGCCTCTTTCCTCCCCCATTCCACCGAGGACGCGGAACGAATTCAGCGTTTGAGTCAAAGTGTCGGTCCCTCTCCGACTGACCAGAGCGAGTTAAATCCAGCATGAGATAAATGATGAGTCAATTAAGCGCTTGGTCGTCAGAGAATCAATGGGCTGAAAATAACGGGCGCGTTAATTCAAGTCTGCGGAGACGGTTTGTTTCTCATTGTCATTGTTTGGTTACAACTTCAGAAATTGCTAGAATCTGTTTAACACGACTTCAGAAAGCCCGAGCCGGTGTCCTCGTGTTACTTTTTCAAGTTAACAAAAACGATTTAAAGAAACACGGAAACAAAGCAATGGCCTTGTGGTCCAGAAGCTCCCATGTGAAGATATCAAGGTCAGAAATAAGTATCTGGTATAAAAAATAATGAATGAATAAAATAATCCTCAGTTCCCGTCTTTGTGAGCGACGCGTCCTTCAGTCCCAGGTGGGGAGGATCTGTGAGACGAAGGCCGTCGACCCCGAGGACACAACTCGCTCCGTCAGTCAGGTCTCCAGTCAATCACAGTTACCAGGTGGAGGTATGAACCCTGGGCTATTTCAATCCACACACACACACACACACGCTGCTCTGGTGTCGTGTTGAAGAAGTCACGGGAAGCTGAGAGACGGCGAGGTTTCAAATGATCGGCATTAAGTCCCAGCCAGGTGTGAGGTCAGGATGTGTAGACTGTGTGTGTGTGCGTGTGTGTGTGTGTGCGAGGCTGCTAAAGGGAAAACCAATGACTCACAGAGATATGCTTTGAAATATAAATCATTCTCAACCTTGAGCTTCCTTTTAATAATGAATGAGGAAAAAAAGTCTGAATTTGCCAGCCTGGTTATTAATGGCAAATGGAATTTATGAATAAATCACTTTGGGTTGAACACGATTTCTAGAATAATGTGTAATTGTGAGCAAAGCTTTGAGAAGGAACAAACACACACACACACACACACTTGTTGCATTGGTCTGCCTGAAGATGACACTATGTACTATGTCCCCATCTTGTGGTTGGAAAAGACGAAAGATGTTTGTCACACAGGGCCTCTTTCTACCACAGCTTATAATACAATGCATGTCATCTGTAGCAGTTCAGGAGACCAGATGGTTTCAAAACATGTACGATCGTCCCAGTTCAATAAACACCACAGTTCACGTTCAAGCGGTTTCGTCTTGTAATCTGACACTTTATTTCTGCAGAGACGAGATGCTTCACGTCCCATCGCGGAGGAAACAAACAAGCCGTGTGGCGGAAACGAGAAAGGAAGATCACAGGAAACGTGGCTGCATCTCCGCAGCGATGAAAGGGCGTCACCTCAAATGTAGATGTTTCTGAGCAGTAACTCATTGGCTTTCCTGCAGCTTTATCGCCGGCAACAGCATCTCATTAGTCACCCGCCTCCGCATTAATAACCCGGACAGACGTGGAACAACAACAAAGAGATATCCTGGATGAAACGAGAAGCGAGAGCGTAACATGTTTGAGGTTGTTCAGGTCTGGAGGTGCATCTTGTGGTGCACTGAAGCTTTTAGAGGAACCGGATCCAGATCAATCCATCCAGGTATCTGCCGTGTGATACAGCGCCTCCCCCCCCCCCCCGAACGCCAATGTTTCACTTTGTAAAAGCAGCTAAATTAATAATAAATCATAAAATCGTTCATCATACCAAAACCACAAAAAAAAATCCAGCTGATAGAATGTGAATTTCTTCTCCCAGATTCAACAAAATCTCTACAAAAGAAGCATTTGTGGGATTGTGCTGATTATTTTACACTGTGAGTATATATTTCTATAGAATTTCATCTAATTTTTTGAGAAGCCAGACTGACTAAACGCTCGCTGGTTGCAGAACTAGTGGTCTGTGTGTCATCAGAGGTGAAGAGCCGCAGGACACGAGGGACGAGGACGTCGCGACAGCTGACGAGGTGGTTCCATCTGAAACTAGCTGCACGCACACACAGTGGCTTCTGACGAAGACACCTTCATTAGAATCGAAAATTCCACATGAGCAAAGCGCTCTGTTCTCACTAGAACGTCAACGTGAGCAGCGAGTTCATTTTTAGTCGTTCTTCTAGAGTTTTTAGATGAAAACACAGAAATAAGCAAATAGCTCTCTGCCCCGTTTCCAAGAACCCAGGCTACGGTTCTGTTAAACACTCATCTATCATCAGTTGTAGTTTACAGTTTGTAAAGGACGTTTGAAGGGAAGGAGAACCCGGAGGAGGATGGAGATTGGATCAGGGCCGGTGGGCGGCTCACCTCGCTGCCAGCGCAGTGCTTCAAAAGGATATAAACATCTGTACAATCTTTTAAAAGAATTCACATTGAATGTGCCGTCATCTGGAAGCAGTTCCTTCCGCCAACAACACCTCCGTTAACAAGGTCAACTGCTCCTCAGTAGAACCTCTTGTTCCTCTCCTGTCTCTTCTGGAAGACCACGGCGCCCACCACGGCGCACACCACGATCCCCAGCAGGGCGCACAGCAGCAGCAGGAAGACCTTCCAGCCGGTGAGCGCCGTCCCTCGGAAGTTTCCGGTGGGATCGTCGATGTTGTCTGTGGAGGAAGGAGAGAATAAAGAAATGCATGACAGATCGTCACAAACCAATGAGCTAAAAACGGATGTTTAGTATCAGCATGAACTAACGGCACGATAAATAAAGCCGATTCTGAGAAGAATAACGCTCCTCCTCTTCCTGGTTCAGGCGCGGGGAGGGGGGGGGGAACATGTTCTACCTTTCGGGGACTTGAGGAGGCTGACGCTGGGCTCGATCTTGGTCCAGTCCAGGTTCTCCTCCTCGGGGGTGTGTTCTACCATCAGCTGGTAGAGCTTCATTGAGATGATGTCATGGTTATCTGGGAGAACAACATCCGTTGTATTAGATCATGTGAAGTCATACAACTCGCACAAAAGGGTCCGACTGCATGAAGAAATACATAAAAACACAAAACCTCAAAGTGTAGAAAAAAAGGGGGATAAACTCACCAGACAGATCTCCTGTAGCTGCCGAGGCCCCGAAGAAATACCCGGTAGGAAGACGAACCCCCCCGATGTCGATGCACTCCTTCCATTCGTTCTTGTCCTCCACGTCAATCATCACCTGCAGGACATCAAGCTGCTCAGAACAATCCAAGAAAAGACTTAAAGACGCCCCGGGGGGGGGGGAGGGCGGGGGCCCTCGCTCGCCACTTACAGTTAGTCTTCCTCTGGAGTAGCGGATGGCGAGGTACGTGTCGTGCTGCCGGTTCCTGATCTCCGCCGAGCAGCCCCCCAGCTCAGAGGAGCGGCCGTCTTTGCCGTGGTCGTAGTTCACCGAGCCGTTGTTCACCATCGCCGAGATGTAGGGGAAGGAGCGCTGGCCACAGGGAGCAAAGAATCAACACACACGCACCTCTGAACAGCGAAACAAATGAGGCATGAAGACGATGCTTCAAACAGAAAGCGAAATATAAGAAGCCCTACGTGGTAGTTATATTTTAGGTTATGGAACACGAACACACACACACACACACACACACACACACACACACTTTTGTTGCATTGTTACATATTAAGTCTGTTTCTCATCTGACAAAGTCCTCTGCTTGAGGAGCCGGTTTGCATGTAGATTATTAATCTGTGCACATGGCTCTCATGTCCGATAAGAAATCAGCTGCAATGTGGAAGTAGCATAACGCGCTCGGTGCAAACAAACAACCTCCCTTACAGAGAGTTTAAACAGGAAGCTCTCGTGCTCAACACGTTCAAACACGGCAAAGCAATTTTGCGGGGTTTGGCCAATATTGACATGCTTAAAGCGCCACGACAAACGTGCCAAATCAAACCACACGCATGCTGATGAGTAAACGTGGAGCAAACCACTCACATCCGTGGCATCGTCGTTAGAGTAAGTATCTATAAACACAGCCAGCCCCTGGAAGAGGGCATTGTTGGAAAACACAGGCCCTGCAAAGAAACAAGCCGGTCAATCGCGCGCACACACACAGACAGACACACACACACTTACATCCATCCCATGGAGGTCATTGCGGAAGGTATCCAAAAACAAAGCCAGGCCATGAAACTGATCTTGGTTTCCAAACACAGGACCTAGGATGGAGTGGAGGCAGAGATGAGGCGAGGCGTGAGCGGCGTTTGGCAGGGATGCCGGGGGGGACACACACACACAAACATGTGGATGTGATTACGACAATGGAAGAATAAAAGAAAAAAGCGCCGTCAGGGCGCTCATCTACACCAAAGGCAGAGTAAGCGGGACAATGGGACTGCAGTTGGGTTGATTTAGTCTTTTTTTTAAAACAATGTGCGACGGCGCTCCCTCAGTCGTCTCGGTTGCTACGAAAACACCTCTCAGACTCCTTTATCCTGTAGATTTCACACGGTTTTATGAATGATCATCATTCTTTCTTTGGACAAGTGGCCGTGATGTGAGCAAATTAATGTGTGCATGCAGGAAACAAGCGATGAAAAAAAGACTAAACAAGTGAAACAACAAAAACAAGTGAAAGTGAAGAAAAGCTACTGTGAACAAAGACATCATTTATTAAATGAGTACCACGATTATTTGACGTATTTATTTAAAATATACTACGAAGGCCTCTGGTAAATATGTAATAGATTCCAAATAAAGTAGCCTTTTGTTTTTTTGATAACACTTTCTAGTAATAATCTTTATCTGAAGACAAAAAAACCTCCATCAAATGGACCTGCTGAGGTGAGGCGCTGCAGGTGACGGGAGAACATTGCATTTTGGGTAAATCCCAACTTTGCCCAACTGATGTGCAGTGAGATCCAGCTGGATGAGTTTACCTCAGCAGGAAAGACCCACCAGGCTGGAAAGGAAAAGGACAACGTTACCTGGGTGCAGTTTGTCCTTTGTGTACCAGAGAGCAATGCCGTCGCCATGGAGACCCTTCTTTCCTGCCCCGTGAACTTTAAACTGCACATGCATCTCCCAGTCCTTCAGGTAACACGGCTGCAGACCACAAACAGAAGTAAATATCGACTTGGTGAAGTAGCTTGCTGAGATAAATTACATTACATGTCATTTAGGTGACGCTTTTATCCAAAGCCACTTACAATTAGTCCATTCAACCATAGGGATACATAATAATCCGGACCATGTTCCTCATAGCCGTCAAGACGTTCTTAGGTGTTTTACTTTATATTCCAGGACACTGTCTAAATGTGTTCAGCTAATGATTATCGGGGATTCTTTTTTTTAAAACAACATATCTGCCGTTTTGCAGATTTTCCTCACCACTGTGTTCCAGATGGATCCCTGTTTGCTTCCCTCATCCGGAGTGAGTCGGACGTAGGAGCTGGTCACCAACGTGCTGCCCCAGAAGTCCCACTGACTACTCGGGCTGTTGCCGACACCTGAGAGGACAAGACACAATCAGACTGGGAGGAGAGATGTGAAGGTTTGACCGTGACGGTCACTCAGTGGCTTCGGAGTTTATCTGCACATGAGCTCGTCGATGGACCGAGGACCGTCGTCATTTACAATGTCACAATACGCGCCGATTTGTTTGCTTCGAGAACACTCAGAGTGGTTACATGGATTAAAATAACTGGCTTAGTCAGACTGAAATCGAATTATCTCGTAATGTTGTTGTTGTTGGTTGTTGTTGGTAGTGGTGAAGAGGTCAAGCGGAAATGACTGTATCACAACTAGTTGTAATGAAAACAGCGCCACCTATCGTACCGGATATGACGATATGCTTTCGGCCAATGATTCGATTTAGTCACTGCCATGTATCTTGGGATAATAGCACTTGCCTCGAAAGATAACATAGTCCGACTAAGCAAAGATTCCAATTATACCATCACGTAAACACGCTGACTGACTCCAGCCGCTTCAGTTTAGTCTTAAAGGGTTTTGTCACAAATACCATCGAATGGGCGGCTTTGTAAACTTAAAATATCTCGTGTTGTCCACCGCCCTTCAGTTCTAATTACAAAAATGTACATTTTAGCGCAACAAAGTAACTTTCTCATGTTTCCTCAGAGATGTGTAGACAAAGGTGACTGTGTGTGTTCTATATTTCGTTGGTTTTGGTATTTATTCATATTGTTTATCTTTTAGAATATTTTAACATTTTCTGAAAAGTGTCTTTGGAAAAGCGCTATATAGATGAAATGCATTAATATTATTAGCCAGTGGAAGTTTTGTGTTTTCTTTTTGTGTGGTAAAACCCAGGAATCACACTAGTGACTCTAAAAGTGGGGTCCGTAAATAGTTTGTGAATTTCCATCATGTAAAATCTATATATCTCTTTCACAAAAGGCTTCATCATCCAAAGAACTAAAACAATGTTAATGGCGCTTAATGGAATTTCTGCAAATTACACTTGTTATGTGTATTCTGTGTTGAGTTAACGCAACTCTTTTAAATACATTTCTAATATATAACCCAGACTATGAATGTGTAATAAAAGAGAAGAGAGCTGAGGGGCGTCGCGGTAGCATCGTTCGTTAGCTAACAAGCTAGCTGAGCCGCGTTACCTTGGTACGGCTTCATCAGCGAGTGCTCCCGCTTCAGATGCTCCGCGTTCCCGTCCGTGATGTCACAGCACACCAGGAACAATCTGGAAATCAGCAAGACCAGCGGTGTGTTCCCAAATGCTCTAAAGTTTCCCATTTTGATTCAAACAGCCTCCGAGAGGAACTCTCAAAACAAATTTCCTCCTCGAAACTCCATAAATCGAGCAGGTCCTTCCCTATTGTCTTCCGGAGAGACACAAGACAAGTCGGACTGGTCACCGCACTTTATTTTTCGTGGAGGATCAAATCGTTCGCTCTTTTATTACGTTAATAATTATGCTATAAAGAACTATTTTTACTTTTTACTAAAATAAATCGAATTTGTTGTCGTATTTTAAGGGAAATAATATGTTAGAAACTTTAAACTGCGTGTGTTTCCGCACGGAAGACATTTGCAGACGGCAATAATCCTACCAGCCAACCAGAGAAAAGCACATCGCAAATTGAGCCAATCAGGGAGCACTTGTTGTCCAATTGTTTGCCACTAGATGACGGCAGAAAGCAGTCAATATAAACACGTAGAGGTTTCTGTAGTTTCTATGGTTTCAAAAATTCATATGGAAAATGTTCCGTTTCAGAATAATGCCACCGGATGAATATAATCTGAATTGTCCCTCTGGGAAGTGGCATTGGGCAAGGCAAATGTATTTGTAAAGTACATTCAACAACAAGGCAACTTGTTTCCCAAAGTGTTTCCCATAAAACCACCAACCAAGAAAAAGAAAATGAAGTTTAAAAACAATAAAGTGAAAACAGAAATGAAAACAATAAACAAGAATAGGGGTTGCGGTGCAGTATATAGTATATGAAATAAACACTAAAGAGCATCCACTTCATCCTTGAATCTGGTGATCCAGATGCTCTTTTCATGTACTATATACTGCACCGCAACCCCTATTCTTGTTTACTGTTGGCAGCAGCAGGCAGCAGCACACACAGAACAGTCTGCTGTTTCAAATCGAGTGTCAGCAGACCTGCAAGAAGTATACGATGATATCAAAGGTAATCAACAACCTCACATCGCAACACATAGAAATCCTCGTTCAATGCAAATACAAAAAGCTCATGTAGTCGTGATGAAGATCTTATAGAACAATGACACCTTTTAGTTATCATCGTCGCCTTGTAGGCGTTGAGCGTGTCTTTGTAGTACTTTTATGTGTCCATGTCGTCATTTAACGCGTCTCACTGTCCCGACGGCCCCCTGACACTCTGCTGGCTCTCTTCTCGGATGCGCGCCTATAATATTGGACCCACAGTTGTGTGCAAAAACAAATCAGACGGGAGAATTACTCTGATTTACTGAACCCAAATGACACGAGTCCAATTTCATCTCGTTACAAATCTTTTCAAAACGAACGTCCGACTACGCAACTTTGTTTAGTTTATACAACAAAGCTACTTCGTTTTCGGAAAAGACATTTATTTCACAAAATAAATCAGCGTTGACATGTCGTTTCACCCAAAACAGTAACACTAGTCTCCTTGGTCAAATTCCAGCTTCTGTTTCCCCCCGTCCACCTCCCCTCCCACCCACTCTGTGGGGCATTTGTCGCAGCCTGCATGCTTCCTGGTTCTTTACAACCTGGGTTCAACATGAATAGACTCAGTGGAACATCTACACATGTGACGCTGTGCCGTGTGCGAGCAGCCCGAGGAGCCCGAGGCACAAAAATAACAACGACATCAAACCCAAAACACAGGAAAGCAAAATGCCACTTGTGTCCGTCTGCGTCAGCCAGCGGCCGACGGTCTCTTCCTGAGAGACGAGGCCAAACTCAGTTAAGTGTCCCGAATTCCCATTTCCCCGTCTGGCTTCGTCTCCACCCGGATCACCATAAATGTCATGGCTGCTCCACCCATCAAAAAAAGAGAATCACATTAAAGTGAGCTTTTAAAAGCCGAGCGTCCCGGTTTTATTGGGCTGAATCCGCTCCTCCGTTTCACTTTTGAACCTCTGTCTGTTCCAGCTGGACGGCGAGACGTGCCAATACGCCATCGTTGCGCAACGCCGGCACACAGCGGTTGCTTTTGGCGGCTTGCGGCGGCTTGCGGATGCTCAGCAGGCGGGGGATGGCGAGGTTCGGGGAGCCCGGGCCAAGGTGCCCCGTGTGGGTGTGTGATGCTGCGTGAATCCACCTGGAGGTCTGAGTCCTCCGAACATCAGCAGGGAGGCCGTTCTCCAACCCCCCCCCCCTCCCCCTTCGTCCCTCATCATACTCCCGTCACCTCACGGACGCAACGACCCCCAAACCTCCCCCCGGGCGCGCCGTCTGACGGGACCACAAACCCCATCCATCTCCTGTCCATCTCCTGCGACCTCTGCCCGCGCTCCTCTCTCCTGTCAGCGCTGCTGTTTTCTTTTTAATCTCGTATCTCAATCACGCCACGAGAGGCTTTCAGCTTGTTGAAGCTGTACTGAAAAAAAGAACAGAAAAGCGGAAATAGACCTCTTGAAGGAAGCGTGTGAGCTGGTGCAGGAAGTAGAACCTTCGCTGCAGCTCGTGCCTTTTAGGCCTCGGCTTGTGGTTGGTCTCATTTTCACCCCCACTGCACCGCCTGTTACACCTTTGAGTCACTACTTTAATCTGATGCTCTGTCGGTCTTTTTTTGAAATAGCAGCTGACCCCATTTCGCTCATTTTCGGTGAGAAACCTTGTGTAGTTCATTCACATTTCACATTTCGAGTCAGAATACGGTAATGTCGGGTTGAATTAGCTTTTTATTATTAAAACCCAACAACGGGGTAACTTCTGCTCCCTCACCTGTCAGTGTTTTAATGTCACATGACGCCGACGATTTGATCCTGACCGCGAAGAAAACTTAAAAGCTGCTGTGAAAAACAAAAAAAAGACCACCCAATTTATTAAATGAGTGCAGAGGTTCTCCGGTTACACAGGAGTTTTATTTTTTTATTCTTTAGTGGTCTTGGTCCCTCCCGGTGTGCGAGACGTGTGCATGCTGACCGTGATCAGTGTCACCCGGCCTAAATAATCGACTATTGATCAGGGCCTCGATGTGTCCTTTAGATGAGACCAAGTGGCTGACGAAAAGCTCTCCAGACGTCCAGCAGCTCGTGTGTGTCTCGTTCCCCCGCTGCCTGGTACACCCTCCAGTCACTGCTTTAATCCAACGCCCGTCAGTCACTTTTAAAATAGCAGCTGACCTCATTTTGTCTGAGTTGATGTCTTACTTCAGGGCGAAACGCCCCGTGAGTAATGAGAGATAATTACAGCCGATCTGTTACAAACACTGACGATAAATACAAAACCTTTGTGTTTTTCAGAAACCTACAAGACCTGCAGTGAGGGAAAGATAATCAGGAACCCGACACCTTTCGTCTCCTCGGCGCGCGCGCGTGTGTGTTCTCAATTATGTGGGAAGCAGTCTGGACGAAGGAGGTTCCCGCTTGAGGTTTGAGTTCAGGTCGGATTATCTTTAATGCGATTTATCAAGAAACTTTTACCCATAGTGGTTTTAAATTCCCAACTCCATTTGGTTTCGGGGGGGTTGGGCCGGTGCGGAGCTCTGCAGGAATGTGAGACTTCCGGTTAATTGAAGAAACACTCGTCTAGGATTCGACCTTTTGAGTTCTTCTCAAAGAGACGTACGTCTGTTTGGACGTCTAACCTTCTCTGAAGTGCTTTAGATGCCGCAGTTGTCCTTCGAATTCACCACAGTTGACGGCGCAGAGATTTATCTGCACATTCTGCTCACATTAAAAACATCTGCAGATCAGACTACAAGAGATACAAGAGCCACGAACAAGTAACTCCCTCAATGGAAAGAAGCCTTCGCTCACCAACGGACAATGACGCCGAACCCAAATGCACAACTCCTGAGACGACGTTCAAAGGTTTATTGACAAAAGGGCAGCAAACGAAAATCACTCTCGGGAAGAGGAAAAAGGCCCTTTGCTAAATCTAAGAACAAAAGGATCTAGAATGAATGAATCAACAGAATCTGTGACACGGGACAGACTGGCGCAGGACAAAGGGAGACGCGGCCCACATGCACACACAGGGTAAGGGGACAGGTGGGGACAGTCAGGGGCGGGGCAGACAATCGGACCGGCGCACAGGGGGGGAGGAGCAAGTTGCCTGAAACGAGAGGGAGGTTCATTTTCAAAATAAAACAGGAAATCAGGAGGCAGCGTAGACACGAGACAACCTGATCATCACCGCTTCTTGGACCGGACACCTTCAGCAGATTCAAGCCCTGCAGGGGAAAACCTTCCTCCTGATCCCTGGGTTCCTCCGTCCGTGAGAATTATGTCCGCTGCGTGGTCTGGTTGCCAAGTGAGACGTTAAATCTGTAATCATGGCGGAGGCAGTAGCCATTAACTCAGCCCGATGGTCTAATTTCACCCGTGGAGAGACGTATGGGAAAGGGGGGGGGGGGTTATTCAAGTCATATTTAATCAAGAAAACAAAACCAGGACGGAAAGCTGCCCGGCATGATTGAGCACCTGTCGATAAAAGAGTGGAGACGGCCGGGTTCGTCTTTTAGTGTGTGTGAGTAAATACGAAATGAACAGTGTGTCAAACAACCATTATGAAAGGTTACGTACGTATTGGCAATGAAAGGAAACAGTCATTGTGTCCTTGAATGTGCAGCGGCAATCAACAATTTGGAGGATTTGATCTATTTCAGAAGAATCTTAACACTCGGGTTGGTAAATAAGTTTATTTATCCCAGCTCGCTTTTACTTTTTACCTCCTCGTAAGCACTCGGAGAATGATTTGAAATCCCTGTGACCTCCAAAAACAATCACACACACACACACACACACACACACCCACACCGAGCATAAAGCCAGCGGCGTCCTCGGCTACGATGAGATTGACCCCCGGACGGCACGCAGGACGGTTCATGCGGTGAACAATGGTTACGTGAAGCTTATAGATGATCATTTTAAACGAGGCTGCCTGTTGCGATGAAGCTCGTGTTTTATCTTCATACGAATGACTCGGGCTCTAATCGAACAGCGGGCGTGAGAGCCGAGGTCACGTAGGTCAACACTGCTGCTTGACTGGTTTTGTTTTCCCTTTTCGATCGCCCTTAATTCCTCCTTTGATTTGAGTAGGTGAGCAAACATTTTTGGGACCCCCAGAAAACACAATAAAGCCTCTAAGCTTCCAGCTTCGTCTCCCGAGTCCCGTCGATACAGATTAATGCTTTTTTAAA